TATGTCTCATCTATTCTTTGTTCAGTGCAATTTTATATCTTCCTTTTCCCACTTTAATCATATTACTTTTAGAGCTAGTTAATATTGACATACTATATTTTAACCTTCTCTTATTATTCAGCATTTAAAAAAAAAGATTTTATTTATTTGAGAGAGAGAATAAGCAGGGAGAGTGGCAGAGGAAGAGGGAGAAGCAGACTCCCTGCTGAGCAGTGAGCCTGATGTTGGGCTGGATCCCATGACTCTGGGATCATGACCTGAGCCAAAGGCAAATGCTTAACCCACTGACCCAGTCAAGAGTCCCTTATTATTTTGGCTGCTTCCATTTAATTCATTGTGAACAGTATTACACAGGTGGCTTCCCCTAACTTGGTAATTATATCAGTTAAGATTTATTTCTCCAAACTGTAGTGAGTACACTAATCCCAGCTCAGCCTCTTAACTAGTTGTGACTTTGAGAAAGTTACTTTAAGCCTGTTTCTGAAGCTATAAAAAGAAGCTTGTAAAAGTTCCTACCACCAGAGACTGCTGTGTGCATTAAATAAGGTAACTTATATGGATGATTGATCAGTGCCTGATATGTGGTAAACTCTGAATGTTATTGCAATGAACGAATCCACTGCAAGGAAGTAGGGTTAGGCCTGGCAGGGCACAAATGTTTTCAAATTCTCAACATTAAGGCAAAAATAAAGCCACAGTTGCTTTTTTTTTTTTTTTAATAAATTGCCTATTAGACTCCTCTTTCCCATTAATTATATTTCCTTTGTTTCCTCTGTAAATTAAGATCTTAATATTTTTGTTAAATATGAGCTCTTTAAAGTTAGCTTGATATATTTTCCTTTTTTTTTTTTTACTACATGTATTTGTAATTCTGTTAAATCTGACCATATTTTTAAAAACTTTGTGATTTCTGTAATTTCCTCAGAGGATACAGCTGCCAGAATACTGTTGGACTTCAGTGTTCTGCAGACATTCTGAGGCACTTTTGCAGCCATGAATGTGGCATTACTTTCTCTTCCATGAATTCTCTAAGTTCCAAAGGAACTTCTTGTCTTATATAAACTCATAGTTTTTAGTACTTTACTCCTTTGTGAGTTTTCATTTTCCAGCTTCGAGTGCTGACAGAATGCTCTTGATGCTTGTGTCTAGCTTTTATTTATTTTTAAATTTACTTTTATTTTAGAGTGGGGGGGGGAGGGGGAGAGGGAGAGAATTTCAAGTGGACTCCCCACTGAGTGTGGAGTCCAACACAGGGCTCAACCTCACAATCCTGAGATCATGACCCAAGTTGCGATCAAGTCAGAGGCTTATTACCCAACTGTGCCACCCAGGTGCCCCGTGTCTAGTGTTTATTAAACTATTAAACTTAGTTGGTTCTCTATTAAAATGTTGCTATCTTAGGTTTTTCAATTCCAAAGCTTTATAGCATTTACAGTGATTATCCTTTTTTTAACCTGTGTAAAAAAGGCAGTATTAATAAGAGTCATTTTGTACTGAGAACCAAAGTCAAACTGTCTTAAGTGCTTTCCTCGAAATGCTATAAAATGTATTATACCTCCAACATATTACCTCATGGCATCTAAAATATTTGTTCCCTGTGAGGGTAGGGGACCACACCCATCATTTTCATTTCTCTGTTGTTAGTGCCTGACCCACCGTGGGTACGCTCTCTGACCAAATCATGTAAGGCAGTGTAATTTAGCCCTATGTTATAAAGAGCACTTTATTATTATTTTTTTTAATTTTGAAGACCGACAATAATCCAGGAACCATGCCCTAAATTTGCCCCAGGTCATAATGTATTATTAGCTGAATTTCGATTTAGAGTAAAGACCCTAGACAATTCTTTGTAGGTGGAAAGGTTTGACAAGAAAAGGGGAAGCCAGTTAAGTATGGGATAGTGGTGGTAGTTACAACTGCAGGAGTTAAGTGTTTTAACCATAATCAAATAAATAAAAAGTCCCCAAAGGGTGGATTTTTTTTTTTTAAGATTTTTATTTATTTGACAGAGAGATCACAAGTAGGCAGAGAGGCAGGCAGTGAGAGAGGGGTAAGCAGGCTCCCTGCTGAACAGAGAAACGAAGGCAGGCCTCAATCCCAGGACCCTGAGATCATGACCTGAGCCGAAGGCAGTGGCTTAACCCATTGAGCCACCCAGGCACTCCTGGGTGGTCATTTTTAATATCTGTCATCATGGGAAGTGGTCTGTTAGGGATCAAAAACCAAAATGATGGAGACCTAGGGATGCAGAAGTTTACACTCTGGATTCTGGTGCATAAGGTCAAATTGTGTAGAAGGTCATTCCTAATTTGGCTGACAGTTTTGAGCTAGTCTGCTGTTTCTAAATTGTAGCTTCCTCAAGGGAAGTTTAGACTGGGATAGGCGGAGTCCAGGGGGAAAAGTAGAACCTCTACAAAGTAAGCTCAATGTTTTCTGTTGCATTTTCCTATCTCTTTTGCACTCTCTCTCCTACTTTTAGTCTTGGCCTATGGGAATTCGGTTTCTTGTTTTTACTCAGACCAATGTTATGAGAAAGCAAGTCAATATAGGCAATATTCATTTTAATTGAGTCCCTTCCAAAGTTAAGGTAAAGTCAACATCCTTGGAGGCTCTGCTCATTTTAGTAGAGGCAAGCCTTTACTTTGACATGAATTCTAAATAGAGTTTTGCTTCCTTTTAAAGAGGCCCTCTTACCTGCCTAGCTTACAGTATTAGGTGCTCAATTAATTTGTAGAACAATTTTTAACTTTTATATTAGGAAAAGGCAGGTTACTTTCTCACACAGGAAGATGGTAAGAACAAAGAAAGTTACAAAACTGCTTTGAGGGTGCTATGATACTGTCACCCTACTGGATTTCACTGTTTTATATACAAATTATTTCAACTTGTGTATTCAAATTTCACCTGCATGTTGTACCTAATAGTTTTGGTATACTTTAGTGTAGGAGACTGCTTGTGACAAATATGATTCAAAAGATGGTTCAAATCCTTATTGAGAACTTTGTGGTAAATTTCAATAAATCGGGAGTATCAAAGTTCACAGACTGCAAAATATTCCATCCTGATACAGTAGCTTCCCAAATGGTGAATTTAAGATTTCATCAGCACTTAGTAATAAAACAGGCCATTAATTCTTTTGAGATTTAAATTCTATGCTTAGGGTGCCAGGCTGGCTCACTTGGTAGGGCATGCAACTCTTGGATCTTGGGGGTTGTAAATTCAAGCCCCCACATTGGGTGTAGAAATTATTAAAAAATAAAATAAAATAAAAGTAAATTCTATACTGTTTAAGTAGTGACTGCTTCATAATAACTTTACGTTCCCAACTATTCCTTTGATTCTAGGTAAGTTTTTTTTTTTTTTTTTAACCTAAGGAATCAAGTATTTTAGAAAATTGGAAAGGCTGAGAATTTGTCCCAGTAACTGATTATTTCTGATGTCACTTTCCTCAATGTTTTATCAACTTAACTACACCTACATTTAAAAATCTCACTCAAGCCCTTTTTTCCACATGTCTGTTACTTGGTTGTATGTAACTTTTCCCCCTGTTACTATGTTAGTTATGTAACAACATAAACTAGGACTAAATTCCTATGGTATAGCCTTATAAGGGAAATCCAATTCAGGACCCTCTGCCATGATTCCCTGGAAATTCTTATAAGCTAACCACTCCTTACTATTGCTGTACCCAACTCAGAAATGTTCAAATCACCCAGGTAGAAAAGCACAATCTGGGAGACAGATTACTGTATACCACCACCTAGCCAATGAAACTCAACCGTTAGAATAGAACTTCTAGACTTGCTTCCTATTTCTTTCATGCTCTGAATGGTAAATTAGTGTTTTCTAACCCTCATTTAGGAAACTAAACCCTTCAGAGAGTAAGGTAACAGAAGCTTTCCAACTACCTTGTCTTGGTTGTCAAAAAACCCAACATTTTCTCTAAGCATAATGTAGGAGGTCCACATTGATCCATACCTCCTGCTAATTATATCCTTATGTCTCCCCTTTCCATGCTGTAGCAGGATGGTACAGAGGTTGGTCTGTGACCAAGAGAATATAGCAGAAATAAATATGTTGCTTCTGGAGATAGGACATACAAGAATATGGCCCTCTGGTAACTCTCTTGGATCACTTCCTCTTGGGGAAGTCAGATACCACATGTCACAGAGACACCCATCTGGTGAAAATCTGAGTCCCTCCAGTGGAGCAAGTCATTTTAGAAGTCACTTCTCCAGCCTTAGTCAAGCCTTCAATGATGTGGCCCTGGCTGAATTTCACTGCAATCTGATGATACCTCATACCAGAACCACTCAGCTAAGATGCTCCTGGATTCCTCACTCAGAAACTGGGTGACCAAACATGTTTGTGGTTAAGCTGCTGAATTTTGGGATGATGTGCCACACAATAACTAAGATACAATGGGCAAAGATCACCTGTTGTTTTCTGAAGGAGCAAAATCCTAATCATAACACTTCTAAGATACCAAATTAATTTATGTTAATAACAAAATATTAAGTTCATGTTTCTTTGGTATTCAGAAAAAGATTTAAGCCATTCCCAACTCACTCAACTACTAAACTCCTTCCACACTGCTAACAAAAAGAAAAAATTTCAATATACATTACCTGTAGTCAATGCACACTAATTAGATCATAGCTTAACGTATCAGTTGTTTTTAACAATTACATTTAAAACTTCCCAGCAGTAAGACCTCTCCTTGGATCTTAATTTTTTCTCACACTGAGATAGAACTGCAGATACCCAACAGTATTCCTAGCAAGTTCCAAAAGGTCTGAATTAGGAGGCCTGGATAGCACTTGGCCCATTTTAATGTTTTAAGTTAGATCTTAAAGAAATGTTAAAGTAAATAAAACTGTATGGCCAAGAGTAAACAATGACTACATATAACTGCTGTATATTTTATATTGTATGTATGCTGAATACTCAGTATTCAACACAGTGCAGGGTTTTCTTTGACACTTATCAGACATCATAGATTACTACCAGAACATCACATAAGTTTATTTCAGATGTAACAGCAATGTTAAAATCAACAAGTTTAATTTTTAACTGCACCAAGTAAACTTGCCATTTAAGTATTTTTAAAGTTATTCCCTCCAAAAAACTGAGGGAGCTTTTCTCTTCCACCCCAGAAACCAGAGTTTCCCAATAGTTCTATTTTTGGAGGACTTTCAATTGATGAATAACTGCTTTGGGGATATTTTAGAACTTCTTTCCCCAAATGAAAACTAGTCTGGACAAATTGTCTATTGCATAGATTTCTCTGCAGATTCTTTTCTTTAGAACCTAAATGCAATTACCATAAGGATAATCTTTACCTATCCGCCCCATAGTAAAAACTCTGTCCTAAAAAATATGATGGCTATATGCTCTGATCTTCCAGTTAATAGAATTGTTTTACCTCAACAATTTTTATGCTCCAAAATAGCCAGATCTTCCAGTTAATAGAATTGTTTTACCTCAACAATTTTTATGCTCCAAAATAGCCAACTCAAATGGGACATTACTCGAGTCTTTACTGACTCATAGGCATGTGAACTAGTGCCCAGCTTCTACATCCTCCTTTTCCTTAAATGGATGGAATTACTTAATACAAGTTTGACGTAGGACAATTAACCCTTTCCAAACAAGTCTGATGTAGGACAACTAACCTTTTCAAACATACCATTTAGGTAAAGTCATTGTCTAGTGTGGAAAAAGAAACTATAATGATAGGGAGCCTACATACTCAATTCAAAATTTATTTTTTTCCCCCTCCTTAAATAACATGTACTTAATTGTCATGAGGCAGCTATTCAGTTTTCAATAACCACATTTAGGGATACATTCATAGGACTGATTAGATAGTCCTGGTGAAATGGTTATAGAAATAGAGGCAGTGTCATCTCAGAAAACTCATTTATATATCAAAATCTATTTTGATATCTGGAAGTTTACAAAAGGGCTGAATTCTTCAAACTAAGTATGCCTTCTGTAACTCAAGCACTCTTCTCTTGGCAAGAGCAAGCTGAAGCTTATCTAGGAAGGTAAAGGTGCTTAATGCTAACTTTTTTCCTAAGTTTATACTCGGACTGCTGAAGAAACTGATACCCAAGAAACCAGCATGGTCTTTCTACATTTTTACTATCTTAAGATTCAAATCCTATATACTCATTCAACTATCTCTCTTTTCCTGTATTAATCTTGGCACTCAAGATTGCTGAAGTCTATTGTACTTTGTACTTTCACATTCTCAAAAAAGATTATCAAATGTGCATCAACATTGTGTAATTTTGTCATTTAACATATTTGGAGAGATGAGATTGCTATTATCAGAATGTACATAAGGATAAGTATTATGAATCAAACTTCCCTTTAAAGTCAAATGACAAGAAAATTCAAGCCCTGTGCATTGTTTTAAAGTCTAATGAGAACATTTCATGGGCCACTAGTATTGGCAATCTAGAAAATTTTAAATATTGGATATAGGGCTATGGAGGAAAACATGAAATTTCAGATGTCTCCTATCTTACAAAAAGTTATCAAGCCATCCAAGCCACTCCTTATGTGCCAGAAAATGATCTGGCATAAACTAGTCCCATCAGTAAAGGAGGTCACAGTGACATTTGTTATTAACACTTCTAAACTTCTATTTTCCCAAGAATAGAAGTAATATGTTTAACAATTGCCCCCTCAAATCCTTAAGCTCAATTATCATAGGCACAGAAAATAAGCAAATCTGGGATGTTCTCCAACAGATAAGCAGTAGCACAGCTATGTTATTCTCAAAAATACTGTCTAGATATTCTTCCCTATATAATCAAATGCTCTGTGGCCTTGCTTTTAATAGTCCGCATTAGCTGGCATTAAATGCATTTATTGTGCCACGAGTCCATCTAAGCTTCCTTTTAGGTGTTTTTAAACATGCCCAAGAGACAATACCTCCTTCAGGTTTATCTTAGGGGTACTGACCTATAAGGACATCAACTCCCATTTTTAAAGTTAGACTAACTATTGTGGGTTTACTGAAGACACGAAAAAAGAGAGGATACACACAAAAAAGTAAATCACAACAAACCTTTTTAGGTCAGTTAAAGGCCATGTCTCTAGCTGGGATATTAAAAAAAATTAATCTCACCAGCCACACTCTAAAAGTTAATGCCACTAATAACAATCAACAGCAGGAAAAATAAACCTGCTAACAACCAGTCCACTCATTAGCAAAAAGCAGTTTAACTCAAATACTGAGACCAAAGTAAAACACTACCTACCCAAACTGTCCCACCTACCCTCAGCGAGGAAGAAAGAAATAATTGCTTAAAAAAAAAAAAATAAGCTTAGTATTTCTTACAAGGATAACAATGGTCCAACTCCTGAGACAACACTCAGAAGGACAAAAGGTGGAGTGAAGGCAATGTCTAGGGATTAGTATCCCAGTCTTGAAAAACCCAAAGTACCACAAACACACTAAACTTGTCTTTGAATTACAGAACAAGATATTGCTGCTGTTTCTTTTTGTCTTTTGATATATACAACATTTTGTAGGCTCTGCCCTTCAATGTGAAAGCAGGAGATTAAAAAAAAAAAAATTGACACTGACACCCAAATTTTTGGGACCATATATATCTTAACTGTGAAACCAAACAGATCTATACTTCCTCCTTCCTACAATCAAACCACCTCACAAAAATAAGAAAACTAAATCCAAACATGATTAATCTTGAAAGTCCTTGGAAGTATTAAACATTTTTTAGAGGAAAGAAAAAGGAAGAAAGGAGGACGAACAAGAACAAGAAGTGGGGGGTGGGGAAGAAAGAGGGGGGGGAAAAATCAATGGGCTTCTCTTTTATTTGGCGACAAGCAAGTGCAAGAAAGTTCATTTCTAATTTGTTCAGTTGTCTGTCTTTTGCACATCTGCATTCTGGCCAGAAGGGACTTTGAGGTTTTTCTGCAACACATGAGCATCTGCAGGCTCTATCCTCTTATAGTAGTTCTTCTTTGTCTCAATAATCTCAAATCCAAACTTCCTGTAGAAGTCAATTGCTGATTCATTGCTGATCTGGACATGCCTAAGATATAGGAGGGTATCAGGGGGAAAAAAAAAAAAGATTTCATCAGCTTTTGTGTATTCTCCACAAATAATTTCAAATTGGTTAGAGCCAGAATACTGCATACATCTGTTAGATTCTCCACATAATTACTAGCAATCAACAAAGATTAGGTATTCATCTCAGAAAAACCTGATGACGAATGTACACTTTTAACCTATTACATTTGCAAGATAGCTGGCTGAGGTTAGGAGTCTCAGAAATAGTGTTTACTCTTACAATCAACAAAGGGCAAAGTACCCTAGTTAGCATAACATTTTTCACTGCAAGGGGAAAAAAGATTCCAGTAACTAAAAATGGGGAAATAACCGTAAGGATGATTCAAAGACCATATTAACATATGCAGAAAGAAAAAAGACAGAAAAATAACATAACTAGGCTCTCAAATGCCTGAATATATCCTCCCTGATTTATAAAAAATATGCTATATTTTGAAAATAAATAATTTGAGTTTTCTCAATTACTCTTCAAAATAGCATTATATAATTTACTCTCTCCCACTGTCAAAGTTAAAATGAGAATAATCTAAATACCCTTATTATAAAAAATCCATAGTTGTGATCTAAACTTGGCTCTTAATCTGAGTTCTATAATATTGATATTATATTAATATAGTATCAGCTAGGTACTCTCTGATTTTGATTATTAAACTCTACTACTAATGAACATATCAATGAGAACCTTAAACCGAACCTAGAGAATGGATAAGATGAGAAAAGTAGTATTAATGATACTAATTCTTCAATTGTGAAGACTTGAGTTTTAATCTTGGTTTACTCTGTGACTTTGGTGCTCCCACCCCAACGAATGAAGCAAATCTTATCTCAGATTCCTTATCTATTATTGAAACAAAAGAAAACTTCATAACCACTACTTCCATGGTTTTTCCAAAAGACAATGAAACAAGAAACCAGAGTTTAAAGTTTCTAGTAAAGGTTTCTATTTCCAGTCTATTAAATTCTTTAGGTAAGAACATTAAATATCATTATACTTACAGATAGATGTTGTCAAAAGTGCCATCTTTTTCACAGATGTTTAAGACATGATTTAACATTTTAGTTCCTATTAACAAGACAAACAACAAATAAGTAATTTCATAAAAATCAATCTTTACACATCTAACTGCCATCTTAACATTTACTGGGTCTTAACAGAACTTGAGGTAAACACGAGACAACCGATTTTTAAAAATTTTCTTCTTTCCCTACATTATCTACATATGTTTAAAACTCATAGCAGAAAAGCAACCTTTACATATACAAGCCCTTCCATGTAAAAGGAAAACAGAAAAAAGCAAAAGGGATATTGATAACAAATCTATATAGGGCTTCCACTTGAAATATGTTAATAAAGTTATTTTCTACCTTACATAATTCAGTAATTCTTTCCCAATATTCCCAAAAGAAATGGTTTGACTCACTGAGTCAGAAACAGTAGTGATGTATTTACATTTCTCTAAACAAATAAAAAAAAAAAACCACAAGTTAAAATTACCTATTCCTAGCCTTCGGTATGGTGCCAGACATCCTAGTGTCATGATGTAAAGTCTCTTCTGATTCTGTGAATGATCCACCCTACAGCATACTGCACCTACTGCAATATCATTGAAATAGGCTGCCATGGAAAATATAAAAATATAAAGTTCAAAGACAGAATAACATATTTTACTCAATCTTCCTCCCCTTCTATAAGAACTAAATTATTGCTATTGGCCATAAATTTTATCAGCTATTCTGAATAATAGTAACTTCAAAAATTTCCTACTTTTTAGGGATTTAAGTCTCTTCTAGAGTAAACACAAATATGTGAAAACACACACACTAAAGAAGACATTTAGCATTTCCGCTTAAAATTCAAGTATTGTCTTGGTTTCTTTGAGATTTTTCTCAGAACCTGAATCACCCCCCCATTTCCTCACTTGTAAAATAAGGAAATTAAATTAGTTAACTCTGCTCTAATATTAAAAACTAGGGTCAAGAATACAACAAACAAATGAAGGGGGGGAAAAAACATATTATACCAAGTTTTGCTAGCTCGCCAACCTCCAGCACATCCTTGTAGAACTTGTCATTGTAGCTGACTGGAAAGATGACCTGGTTTAGTCTCTTCAACTGTTTAATATTGTGTGGTGTCACATCTCCCAGCTCGATCCGGCTACTGGAACAAACCAAAATGTACTCAATAAAATATAATTAGCTTTATTTGTTATGATGAACATTCTTAGAAGACTACGAAGTTTTTTTTTTTACATGACTGATAAATCCAAACTTGCACAGTGACTTTATACTCCTAGAAAGATTACCATTTATAAGATTATGCCAGCTATTCCATCCAAATTCAGTTTGTAGCTTTCAAACAACTGTATACATTTAGAGATAAATATGGTAAACGACAATTACTAAGAAGGCCAGACTAAAATTCTATATAAATGCCAGAATTTTCCTTGTAGTTTACAGTTCAGAAGAATTTAAACATCTATTACTGATCAAAAGGACTGATGATTCCAAATGTTGGCAAGGGGGTGGCAAATGGGAATGGCGAAATGTAAACAGAGTATCTCTGGAAGACACTCTAGTACTATGCATCAAAAAGCCTGAGTGGCTCAGTCATTAAGACTCTGCCTTTGGCTAGGGCGGATTCCAGGGTCCTGGGATTGAGCCCTCTGCATCAGGCTCCCTGCTCTGCACTCCCCCTGTTTGTGTTCCCTCTCTCGCTGTGTCTTCTGTCAAATAAATAAGTAGAACATTTTAAAAAGTAAAAATGTTTGTGTTCCCTCTCTCGCTGCATCTTCTGTCAAATAAATAAATAAATAAAACATTTTAAAAAGTAAAATAAGCCTGAGAGGTACATTTCCTTTATGGAAGTAATCCTACTCCAGAAACTTATCCTGAAAAAATAATCCAAATAGGCAAAAGTTATGTATATTCTACTAATTGAGCTAGGAACAACCCACAACAGTCATTTGGGGTGGTTTTCCAAATCCAGATTCCTGGACTTCACCCCACTTTCAGAAGCACGATCTCTGGAAATGAAACAAAGGAATCCACATGGTGGTGGTGGAGCTTTACTTATCAAGAATGCAACAGAAGTATTCCTTAAAAAAAAATCTATGTATCTAGAAGTTTCGGGGCTGTGACTGGAAGACACAGGACACTGCACAGCTCCGGCAGCTCAGCCCTCAGGGAAACTAACAACTATTGGAGATTTTTATTCTTGGGGGTTAAATGCATATTAATTTAAGAAATAACAATAGCTTACATTTAAAAAAAAAAAAAAAAAAACTATGTAATCAAAACAACTGGTTCCAAGGGAAAAGAGTTAAGGCTAAAAAGATTCAGACTCACAGTAACAAAGCCATGTTGCCTCTAGGCCATCAACCAAGGGATTTTTTAACAACTCAAGTCAGTATCACTACTGTAAAATAAAGGTTGATCAAGGGGCACCTGGATGGCTCAGTGGGTTAAAGCCTCTGCCTTCGGCTCAGGTCATGATCCCAGGGGCCTGGGATGGAGCCCCACATCGGGCTCTCTGCTGGGCGGGGAGCCTGCTTCCTCCTCTCTCTCTCTGCCTACTTGTGATCTCTGTCAAATAAATAAGTAAAATCTTAAAAAAAAAAAAAAAAAGGTTGATCAAATATGAAAGACAAACCTGAATACCACTAACATCATTAGTAGAGTTGCTTACATACATTATTGGCCTTCTTAAGAATCACAATAGTGATTTTTAATTCTTTAAATAAGATGACAAAATTCTTTAAATAAGATCAAATCAAAATAAAAACGAGTTGAAAAATAAAAACAATCTGATGCCACCCAAGTAGCTAGAAAATGTACTCACTGGGTGCTAGGTGCTAGTTCCAGATCACAATGACATTAGTCAATAGCCAGGAAATGCAAACAACACACCCTAATTAATCATTTGCACCCTATGCATAAAGGTTTTGAAAACTGTTGGAGGAATGACTAAACGAAAATGTTAATCATCACTCTTTTATAATGGTAAAAAAGAAAAACCTAAGTGTCCCCAATAGAGAACTAGTTAAATAAAGCATGCATGATACATTAGTATTATTAGCAGAGAAACACTGATACATTGTTTTTGGGGGGGGGGGCGGCGCGGGGGGAAACACATTCTAAATATATGTAATATATAAATATCTAAAATAGCTTTTGTTAATATAGAGAAAAAATGCTTTAAACAATATACAAAAAGTGTGTGATCAGAATCGTGGGTGGCACCTGGCTGGCTCAGCTCAGTAGAACACGATGAGGCTCTTGACCTCATGGTTATAAGGTGGAATCATGGCCATGTTGGGTGAAGATTACTTAAAAATACAATCCTTAATAATAATAATAAAAGAATGGTGGGTAATTTAAAAAACAGTATTCTCTTAAATGTTACAATTTAGATTATTAGAAAACAGAATACAGACCATAACGCCCATCTGGAACTTTAGCCTTCTAGCCTCAATTATTTCATTTTTATGCTGTTTTTTTATTACTTACTATGACCCATCACCCTTGTATATGTTGCATATTTTCTTAAAATCTGAGCAGTTTCTTAGTAGCCACACAAATTAAGATGCAAACACCACAGTAAAAAATAGAGTTCTCTTTGTTATATTTTCTTCCAATTTCTAGACACATAAAGTAAATATGAGTAAATGTGGCCTCTCCTAAGTATTTCACATCTAAAATGAATTCCTTTTGTGAGATTCAGGTCTTCTTCAACTAGGGAATATCTCATTCATAGAACTCCCCTTTTCATTAAAGCAGGATCCTGGCTTTCTCTTCTTTAACACTGAGTAAATAACATTTTACTGAAACCTTTTTCTGATTAAAACCTGCTTAGGTTCACTTACCCACCATCCACCACTCAGACCTTTTATAAGCAGATACAGTTATAATGTAAAATACAGACCCCTTAAAATACAGAGAACATGGAGTGCCTGGGTGGCAGAATCTTTTAAGCATCTGACTCTTGGTTTCTGCTTGGGTGGTGGATATTTCAGGATCATGAGCTCAAGTCCTGCGCTAGGTGCCGAGGTCAGTGCAGAGTCCATTTAGGAGTCTCTCTCCCCCTTTCCCTCGGCCCCTCCCCCATTCTGAAATAAACAAATCTTAAAAAAAAAAAGTACAGGGATAACATGTCACCTACACTCTGTGTTCTTTTCTTTAGTAAAAAGATTCCTATCATTTAGTTAATGTATCTATCACCTTGCATTTTTTTTTAAGAACACTTAGGGTTTACTCTCTTAGCAAGTTTCAATTATATGCATTAGCTCGTCAGACCTTACTCATTTTACAGCTACAAGTTTGTACCTTTTTATCAATTTCTGCCTATTCCCCCCACCCTGGCAACCACTTATCTACTCTGTTTCTAGGAGTTTGACTTTTTTATTTGTAGATTTCACATATAAGTAATACCATGCAGTGTTCGTCTTTCTGAATTATTTTACTTAGCATAATGCTACTTTTTAACTGAGTATAGCACCCCAAATTTGGTATAGTAATATATTTTAAATATAATATAGCATTTATTTATTATATTCAGAGCATGGTATTTAAAAATTATCCACTGCAATTAAGAGTCAAACTCTGTATTTCAAAAGTCATTGAAAAACCACATTATAAAGTCTAACCGTAAACAATAAAGAAAAATTTAACCTAGGAAGTCAAGCTTCCAACTTTAAGTGAAAGAACATGATTTTTAAAAAAAGTTTAAGAATGATTTCCAGGTGGGGCGCCTGGCTGGCTCATCTGGAAGAGCATGCAACTCTTGATCTTGGGGTCATGAGCTTGAGCCCCACACTGGGTACAGGGATTACTTAAAAATATATAAAAACTTGAAAATAAATGATTTCTAGGTAATTGTTGGGCTTCAAGTATCTCTACAATTTTTAAAAGGATAATAACCAGGTATTTCTTAACTTTATACAGAAGGAAAAGGTGGTATAGTTCAATGTGCTAGATGAAATCTAATAAAAATTAACTACTAAAAAAGTTTCCATTGGAGTAGGCAGATCAAGCCTATTCAAATATAGAACACTGTATTAAAATCATTAGGGAATAGTCAGCTTAATCTTTTCCTGCCTAATTAAAAAAATATATAAGTCTTGATTTAAAAAAAAAAAAAAAAAAGTCCATCACCATAGAAATGACTCAGGAAGTGAAAATATCCTGAAAGACTATTACCAGAAGTAAGTTTGATGCAAACAGTCTTCCTGTATTTTTCTATGCATATATATATATAGACATATATATATACACATACATATTTTAAAACAGAATTGAGATACTATTCATATTGTTTGGTAGCTGTTTAAGAAATACCTTAAATATAACTTTGTCAGCAAAATTCACTTTCAAATACAGTTTATCTTTCACGAACATGATATGCCTGACTGAAATGGAATACTTCTGTAATCTTGATCACTTAGCTCTGAATTATTTTAAGATGTGGATATTCTAAATATATCAGAGTAACAGCAACTTGTACATATAATTTAGCAAAGAACATGTTGTATCAAAGGTATATAGTGCTATACAGAAATGTCAAGGGGTGCCTGGGTGGCTCGGTGGGTTAAAGCCTCTGCCTTCGGCTCAGGTCATGATCTCAGGGTCTTGGGATGGAGCCCAGTATCCGGCTCTCTGCTCAGCAGGGAGTCTGCTCCCCCCGCCCCCCCGCGCCCTCTCTGCCAGCCTCTCTGCCTGCTTGTGATCTGTCTGTAAAATAAATAAATAAAATCTTAAAAAAAAAAAAAGGTCTATGAATCTATAATTTTCTGAAGTTCTTATGAACATAATAGTTGCCTATTCAAAGCACAAATCAGGTATTTCAATAAATATTTGAACACCTATGTGCTAACACCTGGAATGTAAAATATAGTGTCTAAGTGCGTATATTACACATATTCATACACAATTGTATACATATAATACACATACATAATATATATAAAATACAATGTCTTAGTAGTAACACATGCACACAAAGTACAAAAATAATACTAGAATGGAAGTAATCCTGGGATCAGATGTGAAGGGTGACTAAGAGTTTGTTCTGTAGGAAGCCAAGAAATGAAATTTTTAAAAAAGATTTTATTTATTTGACAAAGAGAGAGAGCACAAGCAAGGGGATCAGCAGAGGGAGAGGGA